AGTGATCGAAATGTCTGGGTGGAGGCCGCTTTCGATTTGTAATATTAGTGAACAATTAATATTACAGCTTCGTCTTGACTGAACCCTTCGGGTCGAACCCAAACGAATTGCCGATCCGAATCGACGAATCAATCCGAAGGATTTGATGAGTCACTATAGTATTACGAACACAGACGTCGAATATCGAGCCTAGGGCGTTGAGACCGAGCGTCGAAAAATCAACAAGCAACAAGTTCGAGCGTAGCCGTAGCATCACAATGGCCTAGCCATGTGGACGCTAAACTAGCTCGAGCTAGCATGCACTTTGCATGCCTAGGCACAAGCCTAGACGCACCATGCGTGCTAGTCACACCATGTGTGCTAGTCGCACCATGCGTGCTAGGCGCACCATGTGTGCTAGACGCACCAAGCATGCTAGGCGCACCTTGTGTGCTAGGCGCACAGGCAGGCATAGCGTGTCTAGCACTATCGCAAGGCCTGGGCTTGCTAACACTGGCGCCCTAGCATGCCTACCTTGCTAGGCACATGCTTAAGGCAGCATGGCACAGCACCACGCAACAGCCAGCAAGCACGCTGGGCTATGCATGTGTGTGCCTAGGCCTATCGCCACGCACCAGCCATCAAGTATGTGTGTTGTGCGTGTGTGCGTGTGCCAGGGGCCAGCACCTTGCGAGGCATCACCCAGCTAGCGCCAAGCACCCAACAACATGTGTGGCTCGCTAGTAGCACGCATGTGCTAGGTATGCTGGCTGATGCGTGCTGTGCGTGCTAGCTGTGCTGGGCTGGCTGTGCTAGCTGGCCAGCAAGGCTCGCAGCCAGCTCACCCCTTGCTTGATGTTGGTTTAAGGAGAGTGGAGACCAAGGCTTAGAGTCATGCCTTGGGGAGCAAGGCAATGGTCCCCCCATGGTCATGGTCCTCACCTAACCTCTCCTCTCCTCATGCCACTTGTTGATTTGTGATTGCATTACTTTATAATTTATTTTGGAATTAAATAAATTAGTGAAAAATGCAACTATCCCACATTGATCATGAATGGGAGTGCAAGTTTCATTTCCCTATAAATACCCCATTATTGGGCATTTGGAAATAAACTTGAGTGGAACTCAAAAAGGCATCTCTTATTATTAAGAAAACCTTTAAGTTCGTAAAAATCTCGTTTTATACTTGGTCAAGTCTCGACTAACCCTCGAGACGAAGATCGTTCGGGTCGGATCGTGGGTACGAGCCGTTGGAGGCCGTCACGCTTGTGAGGCTTTAAGCTTCGAAGTAAGAGCTCGGTTTACAAGCGAAGCATGCTTCAAGGGTATTACTTCTTTATCTGTTTTCTTAATTATTGTTTAATTATGTTTATGCATGCTTTATTGCTTTAATTATTGGGGCGGGTCTTGGGCGGGTTTTTCTTCCGCGTAGCGTTGGACGCTACGAAACCCAACAGAGTATCCTTCTTCAAGTTTCTCGTGAGTATTCACTATGTGCCAAGATTCCCCTCTTCAGGGTTGCCTAATTTCGAGAGGACCAGGCTTTGATACAAATTGTTACTTTAAAAGAATACTACAAGAGGGGGGGTGAATTGTAGTTTGGAAGGAATTAGACAACTTTTCGTGGAATAACCAAATAAAGCTGAAGGAACTGAAAGTGACACAGAGAGGTTTTAGCGTGGAAAACTTCTTGGCCCTAACAAGAAGAAAAACCACGACCACTTGGGATTTTAGGAAAGATTCTTTACTAGAATAGGGCAAAAAACCTATTACAAGCTAAAGACTCTATCTCTAAGTTCCTCAATGAACTTAGAGTTCCCAGCAATAAGTCCCTCAACTTACAGCTCTTCTCTTCTCTTTAATTTCTCTTCTCTTTCTTTCTCTCCAAGCTTCTCTAGAGTTCACTCAAACTCCCCAATTCCCAATTACAACTCTTGAAGAATTACTCTAATGAAAGAAAATAGAAAGATGATAAACTAAAGTGGAATGCGACTCTTAACTCTTTGAAACTTAGAAGATAGAAAGTATGTTTGAGCAAGGTAAGTTTTTCCGGAAAACAACTTCTCTATTTATAGAAAAACCATAGCTTAATTAGAACGCTACTAGTGCTACAATCTAACGCCACTAACTCCCACCACTTCCAGTGCTTCAAACATGTCCTAAAACTTAAGCCACAATAAAGCAACAGGAGGAGTTTCCTAGCTTAGTGGAGAAAGACTTAATCAAAAACTAGAAGCGTAAGTTTAGAAAATCAATTGAAATATATTAGAAAAGATATTTTTCCAAATTAATAAAAACATATTCATTAAAATAAAATCAAAAAAGACATTTTTCTTGAATAACTAATCTCCTAAAATTAAGCAACTCAAATTCTATCTTTTTAGAAAACTATCTAACGCATTCCACTAAAGCACCAAACTTCTATTGACTTTCACTTACATAAATCCTAAAATAAATATACTTTAGTCATTATTAATTCTCTGAAGAAGTCTCTACTCTGAGTCTTCATTCTCCAGCTTCTACTCCAAAGCTTATGTTCCTTCAAAGGAGCACTGCAACCAGCCTTCACTTTTGTGCTCCAATTCCTTTGCTTCGAATAATTGTAGCAACAGCTTGTATTCTGGCTACATAATAACAAAAACAATAGATCCAAATATAATTTTGACTTGTGTTATCATCAAAACATTAAGGGCAACAGTGCATATTTACATTATTTACTTAGGTTGTGCTCTACTACTCTCTATATGTGTGTTTTAATTAATTTCAGGTGATTTAGATGCAAATGGATTATGGATGGATAATTTTTAGGATAATAATCATAGAGTATGAAGCTATCTCTCTTAAGGATCTCAACTCATGCCTTAGAGGCGAAATAGGGCTAGAATGAAGTAAAGCATTGATGAAAGACTTGATGAATATAAGTCTCATCCACTATTTTGATTATATATTTTGACATACAAACGATAATTGAGTGATTCTAATTGCATCGGAAAGTAGGCTTCAAGATATTTCCAACGATATATTAAACGTCTTAAACAAAGCTCTGAATCTCAAGTTATAACCGATTCAAGAAGAGCTATGCACGCAGCAGTGAGACACGACCATGTTGAATGTTGGCACGCCCATGCCCCATTGAGTGAAGATGCCTCCAACAAAGCAAGCCCATGCCAAGATGAGCCACATCCATGCCTTGACAAGTGATGTTGCTATGTTGTGTGCCATCGAAGGAGACAACACCCATGTCAAATTTCGACATGCCCGTGTCAGGCTGGAAATTCAAGAAGCTTAGTTTCTAATCTTGGGCACGAGCATACCCTGTGTGACACGTCCATGCCTGGTCGATCTAATTAAGGCGGTTTTAGCCGATTTCTTTCCTTATTCTATCCTATCTTTTAACTTTATTATAAATACTCTTTAGCCTCATTATTTCATTATTCATTAGTTTATAACCTTAGCTTAGTTTTCTCTCTAGTTTTATTTTATTAATTCAAGTATTATATTTTCTTCTTCTCTTTCTTTTATGTTTGTTTTAATTCTTTTATTATATTAGAGTATATTGTTATTCTAGGGTGTTAGGGTTTAGTTGAACCCTAACCATGATTGATATTTGATTTGTTCTTTTAAATTCTCAACTAATTGTTAATATTGTTTATGCTTAATTAATTGTGCTTATGCCAATACTAGATTAGAGATAATTAGTATTGTTGTATATTATTCCTTTGTTTTAATCACAACGAGAGTTGGGTTTTAATGGATTTGAATAGATTAATTAAGGGTTTAAATTTCATCGCGAGAGTAGTTGAATGAATGATTAGGAAGCTAAGTAATGTGCTTAATGTCTCTAATTTGCATGATTCCATGAGAGTAGGCTTGATTGTGATTAGGAAAGACATTGATAACTCGAGATAGACCTTTGTTTTTTTTGGTTCATATGAGCCACTAGGGCGGGGATGAGAATCGATCCCAGGATCACCAGGAACCGGGAGGAAAGCTCTTACCAACTGAGCTATCCCTCACTCTCGAGATAGACCTTTGTTATATTCTAGAGATTACTTTTCCTTGTGAACATACAATTGATTGATTGGGGTAGGAATTTGTATTGTATTGATGATTATGCTAGTGGTGGGTGATAATTAATTCTAGATGTTTTTATTATTATTTGATTCGTAATTGATATTTGAGTAGTCGTAGTTACATAATCCATCATTTGATCTATCTCTTATTTAGTTCTGTCATTGGTAAAAGTTGATTATTAAACAACCTTCTATCTGTGGGATCGACCCTGACTTACCCTACTACTCCCTCCGTCCCATATTATATAGTTCTTGTATTTCTATTTTGGAGTCCCAGAACGTTGTTCCTGTTTCTATTTTTAGATAGTATGTAAAGACCATTATACCCTCATTTTTATAATTTTATTCATTGAATTTCCTAATTTACCCTTAAATTATTCACTTGTCTTGTACTTTTTTCCACTTTCTCTCTCTAACTTTTCGTCTATAATTGTACTTTTTCACTTTTTCCCCTTAAATTATTCACTTACCTTGTACTTTTATCTTGCTTTTTTCTACTTTTAATGTACTTCATCCACCTTCTCCTTCCATTTCTTAAATACTGTGAAAAAAAGGGAGAAAGGGATTTCGCATCGGTTCTAACCAAACCAGTGCGAAAAATGAGTTAATCGCATCGGTTCGGTTCGAACCGGTCGAAATCTATTGTAAAATAAAAAAAAATAAATAAAAACCCGGATATACTCTTTCTTTCTCTTGCTTTCGTTTCCTCAATCTTTCCTCCTCTCATCTGATCTGCCTCTCTCTCTCCTCCATTGAAGCGTACTCGATTTTCTCCATTGAAGGGGCTTCTGAGCTTTCTCTCAGCACTTTCCTGAAACTCCTTCTCTCTCCTTCGATCTCCGTAACCGCCACTTTCCCTTTCCTTTCTTCTCTCTTTCGATCTCCTTCTCCTTCTCTCTTTCTACAATATTGGAGGTTAGGGTTTCTGGGTGTGTCTATTTTGAATCAATTCGATGTGCGTGCGTCTTCAACAACAACAAATTCGAATCAATTTTGAACCAAAAATCAGAAATTCGAGGTTAGGGTTTCTGGGTTATTTAGCTTTGCGTTATATTGTAGCAGTTCTAAGCTTTCTCCTCCATTAAAACAACTTCTGAGGTAATGTTTTTTAATCAATGAAGTTTTTTAATCAATGAATATCAATTTCGCTAATTATTTGTGTTAGTATAGTTAATATAGGGTTTTACCATTGCTAAAATTGTGCTATTGGCTTGTTTATTTAGGGTTTTCAAATGTAATCGCCTTCAATTGATTGCTCGAATTTTATTACTCGATTACTCATTACTGCTCTATTTTCTTCTGCTCGAATTGCTTACAATTGATACGAATTGCTGGATTCTCTCTTCTGCTCGATTATCTGTTGAGTAATCACCCAAATCGAAAGTTTCAGGTATCAATTTTATTATTATATGTTGAGTTTTTGTTAAAACTGGAGAAATTATGTAATTTGTTGATTTCTTGCGATTTGTATGTCACTTTCAGTTTTGCATGTTACATATTGCGAAATTCTTTGCATGTTAAATTCTTAGTTGTATTCTTTGATTGAACTAGTATTAGTATTATGAATTGATTGATTGATTTAAGGTTTGGAGGAATTTAGTTTTTTGGACGGACGGCTATGATGTTGATGAACAGATAAAGTTATAATTTTCAAAATAGTTATGTATTTTGGATTGGCTTAAAAGAGATAGTACATTGAAGATTGATTTTGACAAGTATAGTGCAGGAAAATGCGTGGCCTATAAATTCTGTGGTACTAAACTGAAATCTGAAGTAAATGTTTATTTGCAGATATTGGCATACTTGCTACTGTCATCAGCTTCTTCGGCCATACCTATGACAAACAGAAAGCGGGAAGGAGGTGACAACATTTTCACAGATTCATGCACAGCAGCCATAAGCATGTCTCTCCTTGCTTTCATTTCATTGGCATGTTCATCCGTCACTGCTGGCTATAAGCTCTCTACTCAGTCATGTATATGAAAATTTCCTCTTATTAATATATTTATAATCTAAACATTCTTGAACTTGATTCTTTCATACAGTATAGTCTTTACATATTGTTAATATACCTGATTAGAGTTGGCCTTAGGCTATCTGATTGGAACCCTTCAGGTCACAGATTGCCTGCAACTTATTGTACCTTATTCTTCGTTTTCTTTTCTTTCTTTTTCTTCTTTTTCTTAAATGTATATTTTTATGAATATTTGAGTATAGAGTTTCACTCCTACAGGCTACAGCCTTTCATTTCTCTGCTAACGGCTGTTATTGTGTTTAAAGTCGATATAAAAATTAACATTTCGCTTTGTTCTTGTTTTAGATACTGTTTGCCTCAATTCTCATTGTTTTGTTTGATTGGAAGTAACCAAACATTATGTTTCTTTAGTTTCCAAGGGTCCGAAGACCAAGGTTATTTTTAATATAATGATGAGATGTATGACATTATCGCTCTATTCCATGATGTAACTGAAAGATATTGGATCCTTAATTTCAACCAGAAACTGAACAAACCCAGATTATTGGTAATGAATGTGTCCTAGTGTTTGACTTGTCTGATCTTGCATAATTGGAGTTGGGTTTTGATTCTTGTGCTGTAGCTTCTCGATTGCATCCTTAATTTCTGTATATCCTGTGCATATGAAATATTTCTGGACTATGTATGGCTTTTCCTTACCATAGTATAATAAATGTATGTTTGCAGGAGGAATTTCAGTTAGCTTTGTTCAAAAACAAGAAGAAAGAGAATCTTTTTGCTAATCGGGTATGGAATTTGAATTTAGGTCATTTTTTTGGCTTAATTTTTTTGACTTATTATTATAAAAACAACTCACTATGCAAATGAAACACTCTATGTGCGGTTCCTTTCAATTGGAGCCTGCCACTCAAGCAGTGCTACTCTTATTAAGCCTAACATGTTCTTCAAAAAGGTTTACCTGACATGCAATATTGAAATTTGATTGTGATTTTAGTATAGTGTTATAGTGATTTGAGTATTTAGCTGAACCTTGAAGTTGATTGGTGAGTGTTAGAAATCTACCAATTGTATTTTTCATAACACAATTTTTTTGTTGGCTGTTTGATAATCTTTGAACTGCAAACAGTGGTGTCTCATAAACTCGTTAATTTTAGTTTGCAATTTTGCATTGGACCATCTTATTTTATTGAACAAGGAAACTAAAATTCCGTACTCCATGATTATTTCATCTGTTTTTTTAGTTGTACCATTTATGAAGTATGAGATATGACCAATGAAATTTATATGGTAAAAAGCTAACAATTTGTATTTCTGAATTCTAATATACGTTGTATATTTCTAGAGTTTGATTGTTTATGGGATTAAGGCTTTGATTGATTGATTGATTCTAGAGTTTCAAATTTTATGAAGAATTTCAGTTATAGTTGCTTTGGACTTTGGAATGTGACAATAACTTCTAAAAATTATTTGTATTAGTGATTGTTAGAATTTGTTTTGTTGTACCTTGATAGTTATATATAGATTGAAGTTATGGTTTTTCGAATTGTACCAAGTGTCTAAGTAATACGGTATTTGATACATATACTCCTTTCGTTCTTGTAGTTCTTCAGGTTATGTTGTTTAGTTAGTTTGGTTCACAAGCATATATGTAATATGTATAGCTTTTGTTAATCATTTTTCGTCTATGATACAATTATGTTGTTTTTTTCTGTTGTTGTTGTTGTTCGTTCTTGTCAAGTCTGAAGTTTGTTGTTTTTTCTTCTTCTAAAGTACGAGAGTCATGATGAAAGACCGTTTGCCACGTATTGCGATAGTGAACTCCGATCGTTGCAAGCCCAAAAACTGCAGTCTGGAGTGTAAAAAGAGTTGTCCTGTTCAGACAGGTTTGCAATTGTTTTTGTGTAAACCAATTTTCATTTGTTCATGATGCATTCATTTGCTCACACTTGTGTAATAAACATGTTTATGTGTACTGAGTCCTTTTTCTTAAGGAAATATTTGCTCTGCGAACAATATGATCTATCTGTGCCCCACCAGGATCTGATTAGCCTTTCTCAATTTCAGGGAAACGATGTATTGAGATTAGATCAGTAACACAAGATAAAAAAAAAAAAAAAAAACTCGCGTTCATCTCAGAGGAACTGTGCATTGCTTGTGGTATTTGTATACAGGTCATTACTTCTATAAACTGTGCTATTTAGTACTTATCATTGTTTACACTCACTCATACACTTACATTCTCACATGCACATGATGTATTATGGTTGTTCAGCGCGCCTAATTATTACTTTGTTTTGATTGTGGATTAACGGATGCAAAAATGCCCTTTTGGAGCAATTCAGATCATTAATCTTCCAAAAGATTTGAACAAAGATACAACACATCGTTATGGCCCCAACACTTTCAAATTACATAGGTTAGTTGATTGCTTTGTGGTGTGTTGAAGATGAATCCTTATGATTTTTGTGAGGTCTTAATCGTAGTGTTTCTTAATTACAGGTTACCTGTGCCAAGACATGGACAAGTTCTTGGCTTAGTGGGAACAAATGGTATTGGAAAGACTACTCCTCTCAAAGTTTTGGCTGGAAAATTGAAGCCCAATTTGGGGAGATTTGATGTAATATGCTTAATTTTGATGACTGTTTGAGTTTTTGTTATTGCTTCCTGGTATCTTTTGCCTATTTACAGAATATACTTATACTGTATGTTTTTCTACAGAATCCGCCTAACTGGCAGGAAATCTTAACTTATTTCCGCGGATCAGAACTGTAAAAGTATTTTATGCGCATATTGGAAGATAATCTGAAGTTAGCTATACCCTCTAGATTCATTGTACTTCTAGTTCTTTCTTACACCAAAAAATATGAAATGATGATTACTGCATTACTCATTCAGTATTTACTTACTGAGTCAGTGAGTCCATTTCGTGATGGTGTCATGGATAATGTGTTGTATGTGGAATGAGCATTTCTTGTTGATTAATGTTGCCTCGTCTGTGTGTGAATAGGCCAAAATCAAGCCGCAATATGTGGATAACATTCCAAAGGAAGTACAGGGCAATTTGGAGAGGTCTTAGCTAAAATAGACGAGAAGGACATGAAGGCTTCTCTTTGCAATGATCTGGAGCTAAATAAAGTTCAAGATCGTAAAGTGGGAGATCTATCGGGGGGTGAACTGCAGAGGTTTGCGATTGCAGCTGTGGCTATGAGTAGTGGTGTTATATCTATGTTTGATTCTGTAGTGTTTTTTTTTTTTTTAGTTTGTTAAAGTGTAATATTACAAGTTATTGAAGAAAATATATGTGTTTTATGTATATTATGATTATATACAAGTATTTGGTACAATTTAAGTGAAAAAAATGCAAAAAAAAAAAAAAAAAAAAATTGAGCATTTTTAGCACCAGTTTTGGAAAAGAATCGGTGCTAAAAGTTTTTTTAAATTTTTTTAGGCCACTTTTCGCACCGATTCAAAGCAAGAACCGGTGCTAAAAGTGTGGTTTTTCGCACCGGTTCTCACCTAGAACCGGTGCGAAAAGTCTGGGGTTTTAGCACCCCCCAAATCAGGACCGGTTCAAAACGGTGCTAAATGGGGGTTTTGAAACGGTGCGGATTACGTGTTTTCGCCTAGTGTATTTTTGTTAGGTGCGCGACACGCCTATCAGAAAACAGTTAATTTGAAGGGAAAAAAAATACCCTCTTAAAAACATATATTTTGGAAAACATATATTTTGGACAAGATTTCAGCCCATGACCTCAAGCTTAATTAAACAAAGTGTTTACTATTAAACTTTGTTATATGACATATTATCTTTACAGAATGATATATACAAGTAAATAATTGTATTATAAAAGGAATTGGTCCCGATATTTATCCATAATTTTATAGAAATTATTCATACATGTGCAATAACTCGAGACATTACACTATCCTCAAAATTAGTTTGGTTACTAAAACACGAAATCTTAAAAATTATTACATTTTTATATTTTAAATTATGCTAGTTTAGATATACTCTCTTTGTTGATAAAAGTTTGACTCGCTTAGTTTTCACACAGTCTTCATTGTGCTTATTTAACCCCATTAATATCTTTGTACTATGTAAAAGTGAAATTATAAAAAGTTGAATTATTTGAAACTTTACATTATAGAAAATTCTAACAAAATCCTACGCGATAAATGAATAGTAAGTGAATCGAACTTTCAGGAATGGAGTTAGTATATCCTTATATCAATTATTTGGCGTGTTGCATACAATAGGCATGTACATTTGACGATTACAAGGTTCTACAGTTTCTTCATTTATGGCTATGATAACCTAACAGCAATCAACATCAGCCGAGTTGTGATATAATTGTAAGCCTTATACATTTAGCATTTTACTTCTCAAAATCATGAACGATATTTGAACTAGAACTTAGGTCTTGCTCCATTGCTAGTGTACGTGTGTCGCATTAAGAAAGCATGTTTGAAAATGATTACATGGTCCTATATAATATAGTTTTTTGCTATTTTTCTAATGTGCCATAACTTACTATATCTAGTCGACTTATAAGCTAAACCATAAATCATGCCATTACGTTGCTAGACCATATTAGTACGTTATGAATTATGATGGAGATTGGAGATTGTGTGATCTTACACACATCAGTTTTGTCATCTTCTGCTAGCTATTGCATTAAGCTATGAAATTCTAACTTAGCTTATGTATTTTGGATTTCCCTTCCTTTTGCATTTATTTCAATTGGCACAATATGTCCTCAGACATTTTTGAATCAATCGAAACTGTTAGTACCGGATATTTATCAGTACTAGCTCTCAAATATCGCCGCATTTGTACACAATTTATGAAATTGGAGAAAGTTTATGTCCACTAGTTAGTTACATTAATGGCTTAATTAGTCAAATCGTAAAATTTCTATGTTACATAAATAGTGCTCGTTAAACATTTGTTAACGTATGGAACTTTTTCGACAGGTCTAATTAACTTAGACTGTACTTGTATATTGCTAGCTATTTAGTCACATTTTTATTCATCAAAATTAATTATATAAGTCATCACTACTTCTTTACAAGATGAAGTTTTATGTTATCTGATCTGATATAGACTTTGATGAATGTGATTTGGTTGCTACTCTGTGTATGTGATAATAGTGGTGACTAAGGCTTGAATCGGCTCATATTAAGGGTGTGTTCTATTCACCTGATTTTCACTTATCTAAACTTATCTGAATTTATCTAAATTAATCTGAACTTATTAGACTTTATTAAAACTTATTTTAGTTGTAATTTGTAGTTGGATAACCCTTATTAAAACTTATTTTTTCTGAACCGAACTTATTACAACTGAAATAAATGGAAATCAGGTGAACAGAATAGGTCATTAGTCATATATATATACTTCATAACATAGAAAGATTAATAAGTTGATAAGTATATTTATAAGAACTTAATTAATAAGTTTAGACCACGGAGGGACATATATTGTTAAGATAATTAGGGGTAGAAGCTCACTAAAGGGGGGAAAATAGCTTCATGAGAAACAATTTAAAATATCTGCGTAATTTCATAAACACATACTTTCAAAAGTTTGACCATATAGCTCTAATACAAATAAGTTCAAATAAATGAAAATCGAGTGATGATTAAAATGCACACTTAAAAGCAATTTATCTATCATTACTACTAGATGTATGGTCACTAGCTACGTAAACTAGTTAAACATAATGATCATGGAACTTTTAATAGAGCATGGCAAACCCACTGCGAGTTGAACTTTTTTGAAAATTCTGGCATCTGTTAAGACACTCAGTTATGCATTAGAGAGTCAAGTATGAAAATAAATCCCCGAAGAAATAATATATAGGTAGAACATACAGCAAAATAATGATCAAGTTTTTAGGCTTGGAACTTAGCATAACGTGTTAGTGCCAAACAAGAATTCATGGAAATGTGAATCTTAAGGATTTGTACTTTCTAGTGGAAGTAAACTATTCTATAATTGGATAAATTGGAGTCAAAGTAGCTTTATCAAAGTGTAGTTAGTGTTTTTAACATTTTTGTTAGTCTATTTTTACTTGTTTAGGTTTTTATTGTTAATGAGAATGACAGAAAATGGTCCGCATAATTAGGTATGAAGTGTTTATTTCAAACGTTACCTAATCTTTGTATGTTCCAACACACCCGTATATGACTCTTTCAAAAAACAAAAAAAAAAAAAAAAAAAAAAAAAAAAAAACAATCAGCTCGTATGTGACCAAGAACCAAGATTGTTGCCCCATAAAACAATTAAACAATTATTTTTTTAGTTTTTTCACAATATATCCCTGAGTTTTTTGTTTATTTATCATGTACCCCTGAACTTTTTTAAATTCATCATATACCCCCGAGTTTTCACAAAAATACACCATATACCTTTGATGACTAATGATTGTTATTTTCGTCAGTCATTAAGGTTAATTATGACTCGAAACACCCTAAATACATTCTCCTACCCCCGAAACCACCCACATTCCTTTTTTCCATTGCAAAAACCACCCCAAATTTCCTTTTCTCATCCTCAAATTCAATCATACGGATATGATTATGGAGGCTTGGAGTGGTTTTGGGGGTTGGAGAAAGGAGAAGAGTGGTTTCGGGGATGGGGGAAAGAGATATAAGGTGGTTTTGATGCATAATTAACCAAATTCTACTCATCTTGTTGTCATTAGGGGTATATGGTGAGTTTTTGTAATAACTCAGAGATATATGGTGAATTTAAAAACTTTCAGGGGTATATGGTGAATAAACAAAAAACTCAGGGGTACATAGTGAAAAAACCGATTTTTTTTTTAAACAACAATCAAACGAATTTGAGAGAGGAAATAAAAGACACACCATATAATGAAATGAAATACAATGATTTTGTTATTTTTTAAGGCAAAAGCTAACAAACGTCTTTAAAGCGTTAGATAAGAGAACTAAAAGTGGAAATATTAAAGTAAAGTAAATAAATGTAATTACACCAATTGACATGTGATTTTGACATGCATTCCAAACTTAATAGATTCAATTATGTCCATAAAGTTCACGCCTATTTCACTTTTTATAACCTCAATTCACACACCATAATTAAACTATCTCCTTTCCTTATGTACTTCTTCACACCCATAAGCATAAGGCCATAACAATATAATGTAACGTACACAAGAGTTTAATTTGGAGGTATCTGCATCATCAATTTGAATCGAGTTGTGCCTTAAGCCTTCGTTAAAACGTGAATCAAAGTTCTTGATTATTTATTGGAAGCTTCCATGCAAAAACAACTCAATTGTAGTATAAAAGAGGGTGAAACAAAAAAGACGAGCGAATTAAGTGATACAAATTAAATTTTTGTTTAAAGAGTTAAAAACTAACTAGCTTAGTCTTGTACTATTTTAACACGTCATAACGTATTCAAAACGTTATAACTTTCTTGTTTCTCATTAAAAATTGGATTGTGACTTCTTGTAGGTCTGTAAAGTCTTCATGCCGACTTTTCAATTCAATTATATTCATTCCTTTATAGTTTATGGATCAATAATAATGAATGAAAGAGTGCACATGAATTAGCTTTTACACTTCTTTCAGTTTGATCTCTGCTTCATTCTAACTCAAATCTATCCTAAAGAGATGTAATGTTATCCTCGTGCAAAATACCTTCTTTTCCCGTAAATTTTATATGCAAGCTTGTCCAACGAACATAATTCATTTCATTAAATTCAACTAAAAATTAATTAAAACTCATAAACATTAAATAGTAGAGCACAACTTGAGCAAACCATGCAAATATACATGCACCTAATTAGTGCACTGTTAAAAACTAAAAATGCAACCATAGCCTAAAATGACAACAAAAAATTAAACAGATCAAGCTCTTTAAGCTCTACAAATAAATGGCCAAGTCCATCATTAATTATATTTTTCTAATATTAACACTTGTCATGCCAGTTTCCAATTACCTCATTTTTTAAGTGATTTCATTTACTTTTTGACAGATTTCATTGACTTTACTAGTTTTTTCTTTACTTTCAAAATCAAATTAACAAAATCTCATCAAGTACATGTTTACCTAAGAGATTGAAAGTTTGTCTTTAAAGTTAATACTTTATAATTATAATTAATAGATTAATCTCCCTCAAAAAAAAAAAAAAAAAAAATTAATCTTAACATTTACTGTATTTGCCTAAAATAATTAAGATAGAGATGTGGTGAATGAGTGGAAAAATATAATTAAAGTTTATAAAGTGTACAATAACAATGGGCAAGTGTATGAATAATGTGTAAATATTGTGGGATAGAGCCATAGAGGGATAAGAGGAGGTAAAATGTATTTGCCAAAAATAAGATAAAACAGTGTTAAAAACTTTTAAAAATGGACCAAAACAGAAAGTAATAAGATCATTTAACACATCTAATTATAAACAAAGCAGGTAGTCCCAAAATTATAGTCACTCTTTGTCTTTCTTATTGCATTAACTACAGACACTCTATCTATGGTATATTAGTACTAAAGTGTGTAAATTTTGTATTAAAAAAAAAAAGGTATGGAGTATCATAAATATATTATGACTGCAATATTCAGAAGTTTTAGTAGTTTTGTCTTTTGGAGATGAAATTATTAAATTTCTTTACCTATTGTAAATAGTGTTCATGGTGACCAAAATTGATCAACTTCTAAAAACTTTGTTTATGTGCTTATTATGTGTCTCTTAAATTTCTTTGAGTCAATTACAAATTTGCAATCATAATCAAATTTAGAAGTAATTTCATGAGAACTGTATCAATTTTGTGGATGTTTATCCATATTGTTTTTGTTTTGGGACATGAGAACTGTTACATTCGCATTAACTCATACAAAAGCAATCAATAATTAAATCCCATTAAAAAAAAAAACAAAATTGAAAATAACAATCAATTCAAGTCTCATTTTCACCATACTTGAATAAAAGGCAAGTAGTAGTGGTCCTTCTTACTGAATATGTCAATAAAATGACGGACCTACCAACCTATGCTATTGAAACATCCGGGCCAATGTGCGTGGCTTTTTTCGTTTTCTCAATTCTCGTCTTAATTAATCCTTAAAGAGTAATTAGTGTGACATCTTAATCCTTAACTAACTCTTAATTCATATGCTATATATACATACAAAATCATATCCATAAAACTTTACTTTATAACTTAGCCTATTTTATACATTCTTTTTTCTGAGTGCCATTTTACATATCCAACTAACCTTGAAATATGGCAGAGTTCAGTAGTGATATTCAGAAAATTCTTAAACCTGCAGCTGTTTTTTCTCAGTTGAACTCGAATATCGAACTATTGAACAGTTTCTCTGAATTGAATCATTCTCTGAGCTCTAATGTCCTAGATTATTTCTCTAGTAATATCAACATTCTAAACAATGCAAACACAGCTCAGCCCTCGTACTTGAACGAGCAGCAACCGTTCCATCTTCCAGACAGTACTGTCAATCAAAATAGATTATTTTGCGCTACTGATCAGAGTCCTGCTACTGGCTCACAATCATCTACAGGTATTGGAAGCGCGGATGGTCACAATGTTAGGATTACCCAAAATAATGTATGTAGTTCTTGCTTACTTAACTTTAAGTTGACATAAATCTTTTTAGTCTCCTTTAATTTATATGTTTCCGTTATCTTAATTACAGAGTGTAGCAGGGAAAAAGAAGAAAAGGAAAGCCGATGATCAGGAGGTGGAGAAGCCGAAAGAAGTAATTCATGTAAGAGCGAAAAGAGGGCAAGCTACTGACAGTCACAGTCTAGCAGAAAGGGTAAGTTATCAAAACAAGTATTCTATTTAATCTTACAATTTTCTTAAAAATAATAAGAGGGCATGACATAATAGGTTAGAAGGGAGAGAATAAATGAGAAGCTGAAAGTGTTACAAGATCTGGTTCCAGGGTGCTACAAGGTATAGTATATTGTACATGAACCTCTCTGTTTTGTTTCGTCTTGCTTACATGAATGTCTAACTATATATGCGCGAATGCAGACTATGGGAATGGCTGTCATGTTAGATGTAATAATCAACTACGTACAATCTTTACAAAATCAAATTGAGGTTGGTCAAAAAATTACTTTTAATTCTATTTAATCTATCAAGAACCCGAAGAAATTCAATATAAGTTTTTTGTCCCCTCAGTTCCTTTCCATGAAGCTTTCAGCAGCAAGTATGTTTTATGACTTCAACTCCCCTGAAGCCGAGGCGATTGAGACTCTACAGGTAACCTCGGAGTCTTTGTTACAGGAAATAATATTCAGTAATTAATCAATAAACTAGTTTATAGCCCGAGCGATGCCCCGAGTTTTGTTTAAATATAAAATAAAAAAAAATTATCTTAAGTTTAAATAATATTTTGAGAACATTTTCTTAAGTTTAAAATAAAATTTAGAAAATAAAATAAAATATATGGGAATAGAAAAAGAGATGTAGTAGTATACTTGTAAATATTACTTTGTAAAATTGTTTAACTGGTATTGAATCTAGAAATTAGGAATTTAGCATTCAAGGATTCAACAACTATTAGTATATGATATTTTCTTACAAATTAAATTGTAGTTTAATGTGCAATTAATTAGAAGTTACATTCTAGAAGAAAATTAATTACGAATGTTAGACAAACGAAGAGTTTTAGAGTGATGACACATAGGATGACACATAGCGATGATGTGGCGCCAAATCATATTGAGAGAGTGGTGACACATGTCGGTAGCATGTAGTCCCTTTGTGTTTTAATAATATTATAGATAGATTATAGACTCATAGCTGTATCTCACTGGTCAGTAAGGCATATTGCCAGTGGAATTTTCATCCATCTGACAAACCAAATAAATTATGTATGTATGAATCATTATAATAATTTTTCAATCAGCAAGAAATCATACTATGCATTTATCATGATAAACTCTTTTGATTATTGCAGAGAGCAACAACAAACCCTTGTGACGCTCAAGAGATGGAAAGAGTGGCGAAAGAAGGGTATGAAGGGATGCTTCCTCGGCATCAACCAGCATGGCCCTTCTAATTGCTACCTTAATGATTTATAAGTTGGTTATGCTTGCTACGTTCATGACCTCAAAATTTTCAATCATTGCCTGTTTGCTCTCCGGATTTTCTTTGTCAAATTTCTAAATACGTCGTTTTCCTATTTAAATGTTTAAAGTTTATAGCATATACAGTCCCATTGAAACTACATCAGTCTGACCAACATAAGTCATCATAAAAGGACTGAGTCTGATAATACTAATCACACTGTAAGTTTTGATGCTTTGTTCATTATCATACAGGCCAATATTGAAGTTTCTATTGGTTATGTACGGATAATAAATATCTTTTATACGTCGAATCATAATGTTAATAGTCAATTATAGCCAATGTCATTCAGTTGATTCATATATTTCATATTATGATGTGTTTTAATTAGATGGATGTAATATGTCTAATGACCAGTTGCATCCTCTTTAAAATGCTTTTAGCAACCAATAAGTGGATGCATACAGTTTTCGAGCCGAAAGGCACTAGTATAGTGAAGGAGAAAGCACAAATTAGCAATGAACAATTTGATAGATCTCTTTCAGAAGCAGGGTTTTAAGGACCCAGGTGAAAATGACACAAAATGCCCCTTTCTCTCTTACAAGTCTAGCTATTTAGATTGAGTACTACCTCCACACAATAATATAAACATTCTATAGATAAAGACAGAGAGAATGAGGCCATTAAATTATCACCTGGAAAAGATATTCATACTGTAGATTGGTAACATCCAAATATAAATGAGTCCATCAAAGCAAAGATAATGTCACTTTCGAACGTTACAAGAACCAGGATGAGACATCATGTAGGGAAAGAATTCCAAATTTTGCAACATAAGTTTTTTTTTTTTTTTAGAAAAGCAAATAAAATGTAAATCTAGCGCAATTTCTCTAGCAATCTGGTGTGCACACTGTCTATCGGCTTTGTGTACACTGTCGCTGCAGTAATTGGATCCTCTGAAGAACCAAAGGTAGTTGATGTTGCCTGACCATACTTACGAAGAAGAGTTACTAAGTTGTAACTTGTAAGAGCCAGTAAACATTTTACTTGAATGTAAATCAAATTCGAAGCCCATTGCAAGTCATAGAGGCAAGCTAAAGCTTCTAAATGTATTGCTGAATTGCTGAAATACTAAATCTATAATCACTCCCAAAAATCCTGTAATCAAAGAGGAACATTCTATTATTATTGATGCACCAGTCCATTCTTGCCCTATGAGTATCCCTAAACCACATACAATCCGTCTATTAGTCAAAGATTTACCTAAATGAGCAGCAAAAAAATCAAGCGGGGTAAACCACTTTTATTGTGAGAAGAGGAGGTTTGTTGAGATGTTGTGAGATGTTTTAGGAAAGTTGCTATTGTTCCTAGTAAGATCCGTAAACTTAAATCTGGGTTGATGATGGTTTATCACCTAATTGAATACCTGTACAATCAACGTAGATTAGCTAACTTCAACTTGAATCTGGGTCGATAATGGTTTATCACCTAACTGAATACCTGAATCAATGTAGATTAGCTAATATCATATTTGTCTGAGGATAACCACTCCAATAGTAAAATTAGTAAACTGAATGATATGATAGATAAAGATAACTTGAACGTGTTTAAGTAAAAAAATTGCCCCTTAAAGGTGGTTGACTGGTTGGGCTTAGGGTTAATTAAAAACCCCAAGCAGTTGCCATGTTGTTGTAGTACTCCCTATATCACTTCTTACTCTTTTCGTTTTTTTTAAAAGTTATAGTTGGGATTGCGCGTAGTTTAAGAAGGTTTAATAAAATAAGATGTTAATGGGGTAAATAAGGTAATAAAAAAATTGTAAAAAGAGATAGTAGGTAATTATTTTATTGAAAAGTAAAGTAGTATAAGAGAGAGTGAAGACCATTGGAGGAGTGAAAAATAATAAAGTAAGAGTGAATTGACCCCACCCCTCCTCCCATTTGCCCCACCCCTACCCAAATCCCCACCCCGAATTGACCCCCCTATTTCGGCCTCCTAAACCCTAAGCCTCACCCACAAAAGGCTTAGGGTTTTGGGGGGCCAGAAACAGGAAATAGGGGTCAATTCAAGGAGAGGGACTTTTTTTTGGGGGTAGGAGTTGAGGTCGGGGTGGGGCAAATGGGAAAAGGGGTGGCACGTCAAATGGGGGAAAATGGGAATAGGCCGGGATGTGAGGGGAAAGAGGGGAAGGCGGGCGTGGGTCGCCGACAGGGTTAGGGGAGGTTGGTGCGGCCGACCGGGGGTGGGGAAGGCTTTGGGCTGGTGGGTAGGAGAGGAAAGGGGTTGGGTTTTTTAAAAATTATTTTTGTAATAATTTAATTATTTAAAAATTAACTAAAAACTCTAACTAAAGTAAAAAAATTAATAAAATATGATCACTAATGTTATAATTAACTGTATATAATAATACAAAGTTACTAATGATAATAAGAATTTTTACATTTTACCAAAGAGAAAAAGAAAAAGTTGGGTGTTATTAAAGAAAATTTTCCTAATTACAAGATTATAGCTGGATATTAATAAACTATTCATTGAGTGTTTGAGACAATTCCAACAAGTACCCACAAAAACTACATTTTTTCTTATGTATAAATCACTAACATTAATAAGAGTTGAATTATTTTTTTTTTTTTCTAGAAAATACAAGTTTCTCACAAAGATACGTTTATCTCTTTTTATAAATGTAAATAAGAAGTGGTAAGTAAATAAAAAACTATTTTGGTAGATAATGGGACAGCTGGTACTTGTATCCACTTAATGCGTTAGACGGTGTTAGTAGCAAAAATGGAGCGAAAGAAATTTAAAATTGTGGATGGACCAAATGGAAATTTGAGTTGAGAGAGAAACGATGAAGTTGATGGTTGAGCAAGTTGATCAATTAAAAGCAGTTATGATTAACATTATTAAGTTCTTGAAGAACGTTTGTCAATGGAGTTTGAAGTTCGAGATTCTGAGTCCATCAATGGATATTTCAAAAGCTATAATGGACAAAATCTAGTTCAATGTCATCTTCAATGGAGGACATGGTAACCGACCCTTACTTTTTGGGGTTGATCATGCCCTCAATTTCACCCTTTTTGGGGAGGAAGGAGGAAAAAGGAAGAACATCATAACGTTAACATCATGTCCATCAAGGTATAATTAATTACACAGCTACCCCTGACTAAGAAAAAGAAAATTACCATTACAACCCTTGATAAATTTGTCAAGTTTATCTATGTTAAATCGAGTCTTACTCTTTTTACCATTACAACCCTTGATAAATTTGCTAAGTTTATCTCTGTGATAAATCGAGTCTTGCTCTTTTTTTCGATGGGGGGAGCTGTTTGGGTAATTAAAAGCCTTTTTCTGATAATATGATTGTGTAGATCATATTTTCTGAAGGATTAACTTAGCTATGAGGTGGTCATTGTTTTGAAGTGTTATTTCTAATAGCGCAAGATTTCCCTCCTATTTACATTCAATTAAATTGCCTAACTATGTGACATTGTAAATCTAACACTTTAAAATAATGGAGAATTAAAAAAAAAAAAAGGGAAATTACAATATAAAAAATAAGCACAAGATGAATAAACAAGGAGACACGTGATTGTATTGATACCGTGGACGACTCTAACGATGTTTTTCTTCTCTAATTTATTTCTCTCTATAATTTTTTTTTTTTGGTGATTTCTTTCCGAATGTTTTTATTTTGGTAATGTTTTCTTAAATTTTTTTTTGTTATGGATTTTTGTATGGGTTTGAGGATTTTCTCTCTTTATTTATGGTGAAATTTGAAGGATACTCGAAAATCATTCGATGTTAGCTACACTATTAACATAAACATTTAAATAACTGTAACACACCAAACTATCAAGGAAATTGACTCTAACAACAACCCTATGCCAAAGAAAAATCCAAATAAAACCAAAACAACAGTAGGATAAACAAATCCTTAAAAACTACAAACAAAGATACAGTAGTAACAACTCAAATTATTGTAAAAGAAGGGCTAATCTCATCCTAATAACACTGAGGTCAAACAAATAGCAGAGCTATCAAGCCAAAAGAATATAATATTTTAAAATTGTAAACTTTCCAACTTGCTAGATATTATGAAACAAGCAGATCTACAAAAAAGTCCTGAAAAAAACCGAGTTACATCTTATTCATCCGATGCTGATTCTACATCTTTTTCTTCATTCAATCCTGATTCCACATCTTTTTTCGTCCGATCTTGATCCTCCAGCTCTACTTTTATCCAATGTTGACGTTCAAGCTCCACCGTCATCCTATGAGGATGACACTTCTTCATCCAATCTTGATACCCTTGCTCCACCTTTGGTATTCATATATCTATAACTAATACTAAAGAAGCAACCTGTCACGACCCACACATTCCACCCCTCACTAGGGCCATTGGACGGTAGGCAACAATCGTGGCTAAGGGGAATGCCCTTGGTGCGCGCTGGCTAGGCCAGAGACACCCTCCCCCTATAGAGCTTTATATTGCTCCAGTGCTGTCACCCTAGTAAACACCCAAGTGACAGTAACACAATAATGGGTTATTTGGGGACCCAAATGAAGTCCGATTGAGCCCAAATTTGGGGGTCCACCATTTTTAGGCCCAATGAACATCATGGTGATGTTAGATTTTGAAGGAGAAGTCCGGAAGGTTCCAGAATACTCAAGGAGACTCGAGATGCATCCGGAAGCTTCGAGAACCTCCTAGGACATCCTTGAATCATCTGTAAATTCTAGAGTTGTGTAGATAATTCTAGAGCCTTGTACATAGAGGGAATGTACTAAAGAAATGTATAGAATACTCTAGAAAGGATTAGATCTAGAACCCTCCATTTGAGGAGGTTAGTGAAGGTTCTAGGCCATGCTTAGAACACTATAAATAGGGGACTTGGCCTTCATTTGGGGGCATCTCAGAAAATACTTGTAAACACTCTCTCTCAAGCTATCAAAGCATTCAAAATATTTATATCCTCTTGTGTTCTCACCATTCCTTCTGTTGCACACTCTTGCTCGAAGCATTTCGGGGTTAAGCCTTGACTAGCATCCGAGGGAGGGAAGTTAGTAGGCTAGTGTGCATAAGACTAGGGGGATTAGTCAGCACGTGACAACGTGGTATCAGAGCAGCTACGGTCGCGGGGGACTATAGTGCTGTTGAGCTTTGTTAGCAAGTTGTGAGCGAAGGAGGAAGAATGGCAAAGAGCAAGGACGGCAAGGACGCTAGTGCTTCACAAACAACTGAGGGCTATACGCCTGAGGCTCTCATTCAAGCTGTCCAAAAGCTTGAGAAGCGAGTGAATAAAGTTGATGAGAGATCGGCCAAAGCCGAAGTTGCTGCTTGCGACATGACGGATTCTGTC